GTCTAGAAGTACCAACAGGGACACACTCTCCCTGTCGATGTTGAGATGGACCATAGCAGTCTTCAACTCCATCTCCTGCTCTGAAGCCAGTTTGAAATAGCTGAAGTTGGTTTCTCCATCCCCTCTACATCAGCTTCTCCAGTGTCCCCCCTTCCATCACCAGAAATGCTTCATAAAAGATTCAAGGATCCTATAGAATGGAGTTGGATGTGGCCTAGGAAGAAGGGGAAATTACTAAAGACCAAGCAAGGGCAGCTTCATTAAGTAAAATTCATGATTCAATCTAATACAGGTCTTTATCATCCACCCACCCACAGAAATACTTGAAACACCATTTATTACAATGTATGCATCATGAAAAGCCCAAGGAAACTAGTGGCAGATGAGTTAATGGAATGACAAAACCTCTCCAGGTTTTAGCCCAAACTGTGAAGGGATTGATCAGGGTGCTGAACTGATTTTACTATTATACTTTGGATAGCCCCTTTGAAATTCAGATAAGACCTGGAGTAGATTTACTATCCCACTGACATGTAAGTACTGGCCACTTCTGCATTGAGCATTCTGCTGTTTGAGAGGTTATGATCCCATCTTTTCCTCCATCAGCCCTGAATGACTTTCATTCCCTTCTGGGATACCATCTATTTTTATCTCCAACATGGAAACAAACCCTTCCATTGGGTTGTCATAGGTTTTTCGGGCTGTATGGCCATGTTCTAGAAGCATTATCTCCTGATGTTTCACCTGCATCTATGGCAGGCATCCTCAGAAGTTGTGAGGTCTTTCATTTATGTAGCCCATTGTTTTATTTTCTTTCTTTTTTTTTACCTTTCTGTCCTCTGAATAAATTTAATTTAAAATCTCTGTGTTGAGAAAGGGAAGAGAGATGCAAATAACTATTTTCAAAAACTGTATGTAAATATATGCAAATCTGACCAATCAATTAAGTTATTTAAAGTTATGCATTTAATTAAGTTGCAATTAATTTTCAGGTATTTTCTTTAAAACACCACAGGTAACTAGAGACCACACATTATCTTGGAGGGAAGTGCCACCATCTCCTTTTGTTAGCTGTTAAAGGAGACAGCATAAATCAACTCATATACTCATGCATCTGCCTTGACTATCTCCTTCTACCATGGAAAGGAACTCTCTTGGTTGATGACATAACTAGACTGAAGTGATACAGCTCCAAATCTTGCTTTGCAGGGGATCATAATACATTGAGTCCCAATTTAAAAAACAACAACTAGGGAAAGCTGACAGGAAATGAAGAATGCCTCAGAAAAGGGGTCTGTGGTGGGAGGAAGAAGGAAATCCACTCGGCAGACGCTGAAACTCCCTAATATTCACTTCAGTTCTAAGGCAAGCCCACCGCACCAGCTGGGATGTTGTTTATTGCCCACCTGCACTTCCCTTATCTTTTGCATTCCCTGCTATAGAGGCTTTTGAAGGGCTGCCATAGATAGATGCACTGATAATCCTGACCAATTTCACATCACACACACACACACACACACACACACACACACACACACACCCCATTTGGAACATGTTATCTCCTGTCTGAGCAAACATGAATCAGGCAGGCCTGGCTCTGAGATATGTTGCTGCCTGAAACAAARGAGTCAATGGTGCMCTTTACCTTTCCATGTAAAGAAACCAATTGCACAGCGAATGAACTGGAAACCAAACCTTCCTGAATGAAGGAAGCTGGTTTGGAGGATATCACACAGGCCAAGTGGCACACATTGGTGTTACGAAAGGGAAAGGACAGGGAACTCAAGAGAAACATCTAGGAGGGCTGATTCTGCTGCTTCCTCCCCATAATATTGGCCTCTTGGGGCAGTTGTTTCTTCTGCCTATATGCAGGGGCAGTTCTGATATGCATATAGTTCTTCTGCCTATATGCAGGGGCAGTTCTGATAGCCCCTTTGAAATTCAGATAAGACCTGGAGTAGATTTACTATCCCACTGACATTTAAGTACTGGCCACTTCTGCATTGAGCATTCTGCTGTTTGAGAGGTTATGATCCCATCTTTTCCTCCATCAGCCATGATATGAAGAAAGGACATTTTCCCAGGTCAGGATCATCACCCAAGCAATAAGGACTGGAAATTCATGAGGCAACAGTGGCACCCTGTGGCTCTGATTTCAGTAGGGCAGTGAATTTCACTGTAGGGGTGCAACTACACTGTAAAATTGATACAGTTTTACTACGCAAACTGCTGTGAGGGTGTAGTTTGGTGATGCATCAGAATTGTTTAGTAGAAAAAGCTAAAGAACTTACAAAACTACAACTACAATGAATCCATAGCATTGAGCCATGGGTGTTACAGTAGTGTCAAAACTGCCTTCATTCTACAGTGTCGATTCACCCCAGGATTTAATTTGAACTTTAAGGAATGTATAGAAGGTGATGAATCCTGTACCTTAAACAGACACATTACTTTGGGAAACTTCAGTAATGTTTGGGTTAAACCCCAAAACATCCTACCAATGTCAAAGCCACCAGGACCAGTTTTTTTCATGTCAGGAGTGACTTGAGAAACTGAAAGTCGCTTCTGGTGTGAGAGAATTGGCTGACAAGGAAACAAAACAATGGACCTCACAACCTCTGAGATGCTTGCCATAGATGCAGGCGAAACGTCAGGAGAGAATGCTTCTAGAACTTGGCCATATAGCCCGAAAAACCTACAACAACCCAAAACAATGGATGCTTCCAAGTGATGGGATCCCTGTGCTATGAGTCAGAAGGCACTGTGCAGCTAAGTGTAGAGTTTGCTTCCAAAGGATAATAAATGAATCCAAATATATTTTGCAGGAATAAAAAAAACCTGCTGAGGAAGTACATACTATAAAATCCAATTTTCCTCGATCTGTACTAAAGTGATTTTGATAGTTTTGATCAGTACATAATGTTCTGCTCATAGCCAACAATGTGCTGCCACCTATAGCTAATTTTTCAATTTTGTGGGGTTTGGTACCTTTTGGAAGCAAACTATACAATTAAATTTTGATTTCATAATGATTTCTATTTGTTTTTAGTTTTGGTGGGAAGGGGAAAAGATGGAAGAAGTGCTGAGGAAAAACAGAGTTACAAATGGAAGACAATAACTTCAACATCTGGAACTCATCCAGCTCCTTATCAAATAGCTTAAATAAGACAGGAGGGTTGTATAATGAAATCTAGAGATTTTATAAAGGAAGTTTTAATCAGAGTTTAGCTCAAGAGAGGGAATCATGTGGATCTCCAGATATTATTGCAGTGAAGCTTCCAGCAGCCCCATCTAACATACTGCTTCCCATCTTTTTTATTAAGCCCAAACTGTGGGATGAGATTTTGTACCGAACTGGTGGGATATAAAATAATATGGAGTCTGGGCTTCCAGAGGAGGAGGAGGAACATGAGCAGCCCAGGAAATGGCATGAAGGTGCTTCTCATATATTGCCAGAGGTTAGGAGGTGGAATGACATTATTTATTTATTTATTTATTTACAACATTTCTACCCCGCTTTTCTCACCCTGGAGGGAACTCAAGACGGTTTTACATACAGGCAACAATTTGATGCCCTAAAGCACAATGTACACTTAAATAAATATTAAAATTGAATTAAAAAGTACATTAAAACCATTAAAATATTTAAAAACAATACATTAAGAGTTAAATACATAATCCACGAGCATAATTCGGTCTGTTCCAATAGTCATTGCACATTGTTCCAAGTCTACCTATTGCACATGTTCTCTAAAGGTTTGATCACAAAGCCACGTTTTCACTCTCTTGTGGAAGGTCAGAAGGAAGGGGCTGATCTAACATTGTGCCTGTTTGCCACCCTGCAGCCAGTGCACTATAGCAAGCAAACCTTTTATGTTGTGGAGGTACTGCATAATTCTTTACCTAAGATCATGAAAAGCTGTTGACATGTACAACTGCATCATGCTGTCATAAAGCTCCAACAGGATTCCAGCTATGGTATTCAAATAGAAATATATCCTTGTATGATTTTGTACAATTGCACACAGAGAATGTACTATTTTTAGCAATGTGTTTCTGGTTCAAACTCCACTAGATATTCTCCTGCAACAGCCGTCCATATTTAATATATAATCAGCTCTCCACATTTGCTGGAGTTAGGGACATAAGACACCTATGAAAGTGAAAATCCATGAATTTAAAAAATAGCTATATTTTTACCTGGGAGAACCCCTCTCTAGGAAGTTTAGGTCCTCCTACACAATGCCATGGTCAATATCTGATGGAAACTGTCGACAGATAATATTTTAATCAAATCTTTGAATAATAAAATCTGTAAATGTTAGACCTGAAAATGTGAAGAGTCAACTGTATACAGAAACAGCCAAGAGTAAGCTCTCTGGTGGTGCAGCGGGTTAAACCGCTGAGCTGCTGAACTTACTGACCAAAAGGTGGTGGTTCAAATCTGGGGAGTGAAGTGAGCTCCCGCTGTTAGGTTCAGCTTCTGTCAACCTAGCAGTTAGAAAACATGAAAATGTGCATAGATCAATAGGTATCGCTTCTGCAGGAAGGTAATGGTGCTCCATGCAGTCATGCTGGCCATGTGACTTTGGAGGTGTCTATGGACAACACCGGCTCTTTGGCTTAGAAATGGAGATGAGCACCACCCAGAGTCAGACACGACTAGACTTAATGTCAGAGGAAACCTTTACCTTTACTTTAATTTCCTTTTGGATGTAATTAAACTTATTTCTTGATAGATGAATAAAGAACTGGACAAACAGACCATTGTGATATATTGTGTCCCAGGCCTTCAGTCTAACCAGAGCACTGGAATATTGCTTTTGTAACTATGGTTCATAGAATATCGCATGCCAGCTTGGTATATGGCCATGTTGCCTATGGATTCTGGGAGTTGTAGTAACAGAAAAGTAAAATCCACAACCTCTGTCCCACCTGACCTTTATAAGGCTGCAATTCATTTTCCTTTTTGTCTTTTTTCCTTCCTCCCTGCGACCTAGGCTCAGAGTCCAAAATGCGGGAGGTCTGTGCAGGATGCAACACCCCAATCTCCGACCGCTTCCTGCTGAGGGTGAATGAGCGCTCCTGGCATGAAGGCTGCGTGAAGTGCACCGCTTGCCTCCAGCCGCTCTCAGGCACATGCTACTGCCGCAACAGGCAGCTGTACTGCAAGCATGACTATGAAAAGTAAGTAACATTTACTTTTTGGTTTTCTCATGTTTGGCCAATTGATTTATCTGGGCTTGAAGCTACAAGAGTTGCATGTGGTAAAGTCTCTTGTTGGAAGACTATCCTAGCAGTGGGAGAAGGTGATTCCATGAACTTTGTTACCTGCATGATGGTGTTTGCATTCCCCACCCTCAGTTTGGTTGTTTTCACAGCCTCCTACTTGTGAGTGGTACCTGGGAGCAAGTGTCTGATGTTATCTGATGTCTCTGCAAAATTCAGTTATGTTGTCCTATTGGTTGCCAGGTGCTGAACTGTTGTGATGTCACAATTGGGTGGCATATCACTGGGTAACTACCTAGGAACTGAGAGAGCTTAGATTTTGTGTCTCCAGTCAAGAAGAATATTTTGGACAATTCAAGTCAGAGATTCCATAAAATGCTACATTGTTGGTGCAAAAAGTGTTGTTAAATTCCATCAAGTAGGTGTTTAGGGACAGATGATATTTGTGACATGGTTGCAGATTTTATCTAAGGGAAGGGAAAGCAGAATCTTTGCCTAGATAAGAAAAGTAATTTGCAAAGAGAAGGAGAATCCCAGAGAATGAATGTACTGCCATATAAATAAATTGTTAACAGATTGTTGAAATCCAGTTTGTGGTGGTTTAATGAACAGTGTGTGTATAAATATTCTGCAAACAGAAAAGCCAATGTTGGGCTGATAGAACAGATTATGAGCTAAAAATAATAACGCTGAATATTTTAGGCATGCCTTTGGCATAATTTAGTCTCTTGTCTGAAATTTGGTTTTTGAAGAACTATTTGGCAAGACAGAGACTGTAGAGTGGAGTAGGGAAAGGGGAGCATGGAGACATTTTCTAGCCTTAGAGGCCCTGAGTCAGCCCTTTTCATTAATAAAAGCTATTAATAAACAGAATAATTCCCTATCAGACATCAAACTCCTATGTTTGTATAGCAAAATCATGGATTCGTAAAATGTGTACACAGTGGATGATAGCGATGAGCTAATCAGCACTATTGTCTAGATATGATGAGATTTTTTTGTGTCAGGAGCGACTTGAAAAACTGCAAATTGCTTCTGATGTGAGAGAATTGGCCATCTGCAAGGACGTTGCCTTGGGGATGCCCAAATGTTTTGATGTTTAGCATATGGTGAGATATTGATAGGACATAAAGCAAGTCACACAGCTAGTGAATAGCAGGGGGAAAATGATTCGAAATCCATCTTCTTTCATGTATCCTATTGTTTCTTTTTTCTCAGTACTTCACCGGAGCCCCCAGTGGCTCAGTGGGTTAAAGCCCTGTGCCTGCAGGACTGAAGACCAACAGGTCGCAGGTTCAAATCCGGGGAGAGGTGGATGAGCTCCCTTTATCAGCTCCAGCTCCTCATGCGGGGACATGAGAGAAGCCTCCCACAAGGATGATAAAACATCAAAATCATCCGGGCGTCCCCTGGGCAACGTCCTTGCAGACGGCCAATTCTCTCACAACAGGACACTCCTGACACGACCAAAAAAACTTTAATTTAGCTCCCCTAATATGTACAAACTGCCATTTCACTTACATTGTGGTTTCACTTATCTGCATTCAATAAAATATACCACAGAATTGCCTGCAGGGCCTAGAAATTAAATTCCTAGAGAAGATATATTTTATTAGCTGCACACAGTCACTCAAGGATGCCTCTCTAGGAATTTTCTAGGTCCTCCAGGGTAAACACTGAGATTTGAGATTTACTTTAGGCACCCACCTCTGTGTCCCACCAGCAAGAGCAATGCATTTGTAGGAAGACATAGGAGAGGGCCTTCTCTATAGCAGCACCCCAGTTGTGGAATTCCCACTTTAGACCTGATGGGTGCCAATGTTAAAATCACTTCAATGCCAAGTCAAAACCTGTTTTGTTTTTTGTTTGTTTTTTGTTTGTTTTTTGTTTTGTTTTGTGTTTTTTTAAGCCTATGGTTCTAAACTGGTTTTATTCAGACTTCCAATGTCTTGTGTTTGTATGTGTTTATTGCTTTCAATAGCTTTTAACTGACTGATACTCAACAAATAAGCTGCTTAATATATCTTTAATATTTTAAAATTATTTATGTATTGCTTTATTTTTTAACCCCAACTTTCTCCCAGTATAGGAACAATATTGTTGTTGTTGCTCTTGTTTTTCTAAATAGATATTTGTTGAAAGCCACCCTGAGGTCTTCAGATACTGTGCTTATTTCCTGTTCCATTCATATCTTACCCCTGACTCTGCCCAGTTTTATCCATTCCTCCAAGCTTTCTGTCAAAATACAGAAAGTCTTCCAGTATTACATTACAGCAGTGTATCAAAGCAGTCCCACATCATGCATCTATCTTAGCAGCAGTGTATTCAATGTTCGGCAGATGCTTCTACTGAATACAGCCACATCAAAACTCCCGGGTCTTCCTGACGTGTTAGACTACAACTCTTATGGAGGCTGTGGCTAATGACCATTGTAGTCCAACCATCTGAAGAGAGCCAGTTTAAGGAAGATTGTTGCAATTTCTCAGACAACAGATCGCACATGATACGACTTGAATGGAAAGAGTTAAAATAGCCCTAGACGACAAGGTATTTGTTGCCATGGTGTTGAGAAACACTGCTCCCGGATGTGTGCAGTTGATTTAAGCCAAAGTAACTAGCAAACACAGCAGACTTCAGGAATTTTTGAGACAGTATTTTTGAGTGAGAGGGTATGTGCCCAAATTATAATAAGCCAGCCTCATCACAGTTGGAGGCCTTCTTGTACTATGGTATATTCTGCTGAGAGCATCCTAGGCATCTGTCCCAAAGTCTTGCCATGATGGCACACAGTAACCACACAAATGCCAAACGTATGTGTAATTTCACTTCTTCACATCCATTCCTTTTAAACATTATTCTTTCCTCACTGCTGAGCTCCACTTTCATCACTTCCCAGTCCGAAAACCCCAGAATTCTGCAGGAGGCAGCAACCAGATTTAAAGTGGATCCATGCTCTAGTGTGATGAGGCCCCAAGTTTACCACCTCATCACATTGGGAGGGGAAAGCATGTGTGACCATTCCTTTAAGAGTAGAAAATCACTTCTTTTATGTCATCAGTAGTCGCGTTTCTTGTTCTGCCTCCCCATCACACTCACGCTCACATGTGGAAACTTAAGAACTGGCAATACATTCATCTTACATTCATCACACGGCCAGTATTATTATTTTTTAATCAGGAGAAACAACAATATCCAAAAGCCAAGAGATCCCTTGCCCTACCCAAAGCCCCTCACATTAAAGGAGGCTGATGCCAGTTTTAAACCACTTATTTCCATGGGATAATGTTGTTTTGTACCAAACCCCAAATGATACAAGTTGGGCATTTAAACAGAACGGGAAACTATGATAGTTCCCATCCCACCTGCTTTTCAGTTGTAAACATGGGAATAAAGTGTGATAAGAGGCAGGAGCTCTGAACACAATTGCTGACCTCTGCTCAGAATTCTCCCCTTTCAGGACATTTCTGCCTCTTTTCAACTGTGGGACTTGTAATGAGCCCTGTGTCTTTCCATGCTTGAAAAGAGGCTGAAGTGTCATACCAGGGGAAATTTCTTAATGTGATTGAGGTTGATTTGCCAGAGTTCCCTCCTTTCAGGACAGTTTTGCCTCTTTTCAACCACGGAGGGTTAAGCATGATGGCCAGAAGTAGTTTAACTCATGCCATGAGTTCAGTGCTTCTCCATGCTTGAAAAGAGGCTGAAGTGTCCTTCAACTGGGAAATTTCTCAATGTGATAAGGTGGTAAGACTGTATGTTCTTTAGGGCTTCTCTTGTTTGCATTATATACAAACACCATATTACCTTAATACAGAGGCAGCCCTAGGTAATTTTCAATGGTAAGCAAACAGTATTTTGGCGCCCCCGCCAACCAATCACTGATATATATTTTCTGTTCATCGTGGAAGTTCTATGTGCCATATTTGGTTCAGTTCCATCATTGGTGGAGTTCGGAATGCTCTTTGATTGTAGGTGAACTATACATCCCAGTAACTATAACTCGCATATGTTAAGTTCTATTTCTCTCAGCTTTCTCTCCAATTTCCTGCTTCTCCCCCTATCTATCTCCTTCCATCTAAAAGCCTTTTGCCCTCAATCCCCTCACCTCCAAAACCCCTTTCCCCTCCTCCCTCACCCCCAAGAGCCTTTCCCCCTCACCTCCCTTGCTGCCTAGATCATTTCTGCCTTGCCTTCCCCTTCCTTTCACAACTCCATTTCCCTCCCACTGCTTAAGGGGTGCTTTAATTATGCTTTTCCTGCATGGCAAAATGGGGTTGGACTGGATGGCCTCTAGGGTTGCTATTACTACTACTACTACTACTACTACTACTACAAAGGCTGGGTAGCCATCTGTTGTGGGTGCTTTGATTGTGCTTTTCCTGCATGGCAGAATGGGATTGGGTTGGATGGTCCCTGGGGTTTCTGCTATTATTGTGATTATTATGATTATGTTTATTATATAATATAATAGATAAGCATTTCTTGGGGTTCCACAAGAAACTTTTACTTCAAAAAGAGCTCCATAGTTGAAAAAGTTTTAGAACCCATGGTGTAGTGTTTCTACCAGTTATTATAGTCTACTGCATCTCAAGGGCACCAAGTTGGGGAAGTCTGTTACAGGTGGCCTTGCAAATGTTCTCTCAGCTGCTTGGGTTAAATTCTTATGGATTGCTAAAAGAAGGGCTTTCAGATAGTGACTTTGAAAACAAAAAGAAAGCCAAGAGTACCCACTGCCTTGACTGTGTTTCCTTCAAAACATCTAGGCACAGTGATAAGCTGGAAGAAAAACTGTAGGGATTGCTCATCCTTAACATGTTTTAGAATGATTAACCAGGATGCCAAGCCCATTTTGTTCTGCTGCCAGATGAAGTATTGGGCTGAATGTACAAAGCTGGAGCTGAAGTGGGAGGTTTGTACGACTCCCGACACCCAGAGCTTTGATCATGGCTGCAGAAATTGAG